CGCAAGTTCTCCTCTCCGCCTCCTCTGTCCATCCCATCCCGGACCACCTCCCCCGTCCGAACTCGAAAGCTGTCCCTCCACTCCCCTATCACCGCCAGAGTCGGGGGCCTTGATCTGACCAGTCCTCTGTCCAATTACAGTGTCAACAACAACACTTCCCAGTCTGCTGGCAGTAGCCCCACATCTGCTCAGACACCAACACCTCAGACCCCAACCCCAACTACTTCCTCTCCTCCCCCCCCTCCCTCTTCCACCTCTCCTCCACCGAACAATTCTAAGCCAACACAAGACCAAGTTCCTCCTATTCCCTCCTCGCCTGACCAGAGTCCCTGCTCAACTGCAGAGGGAGAGGATGTCCCCAGAATTGACCCCTTCTGTGGAAAACTGCGACGGAGTATACGCAGAGGTATTTCATAGTTTCCCCTATTACACTTTTCAGAACATTAGGACTGAATATTGTTAAAATGTATCTGTTATTCTCTGGTTTTCATTGCTGTATTATAAGAAAAACAGGGAAATAATCATTGTCAACTTTTAGTACTTGAAAAATAATACAGATTATGTAAATAATCAAATAGGCACATAAATATATGAATGTTTCTCCTGTCTGTTAGCTTTAGGTTATTAGGTCAGACCGCAAAAATACTTAAATTAGGCTGAAAGCTTTCTGCTGCTACTAATATTGACATGAGGTTAAGCATATGGGGTCTGAAGTGTGCTTTGCTGCATTTGTAACAGTAGTAATGAGTGATAAGTGATGTTGCAGTGCACTCGCATTACCTGAAGTTCAGCAAGGGAAGATATTAAACCACCGGGGGTCCGAAAAACCTTTCACAGGTTAAAATTAATAATAAGCCACATTACAAATCTGTAAACGTAAGCTTTCAATACCTCACAATAAATATATTGAAGATGTATATTCTTCTTCTGATAAGAAAATACATCAGTAGATTTTTTTACATTTTGCCTGCAGGTCAAAAAGCATGTCCGGTAACCTTTTCTGCTTCTTTATATCAAATAGCATCAGGCCACATGCTGTTAGAGACTATGTGCTGGACTATGTTTGTTGTTTAGGTATATTATCGGTGTATGTATTGCCACTAAACTTATACATTTAAAGAGTTGTTGGTGTACTAAAGGGTTTATGAAGCACTGAAGGTTACTAATCAAATGACAGAGTGAAGTGTTTCCCTATAAGAGCAGAACAAGTGCCTGGTGGAACATCATTATCTCCTGGCATTTGTGTGCCAAAGTCAGCTAAGCCGCCTTCCCATCGCACACGCTCAGATCTTCTAATGGTAGTGTTAAACAGCTCTCTCAGGCTGGAGAGGTATAGCGTCAGGGCATCTCAGGCAACACGGTTTCAATTTGACACTCATCAATATTTGCACATGTGTATGAAGTGTGTCTGTGTGTGTGTGTGTGCATGAGAGGTTCATGTGCTTCTAACCGCTTACAAGGAGACAAAGACCCATTAGCATTGGTACCACAGAGCCACTTTCATCTCTTCTCTATACTGTCTCAGCTTCTTGGGCTCTTAATCAGTCAGTACATTCTGTTCTTATGTGTACCTGCAGGTAATGTGCATCCACGTATATGTCTGTTGATCTTTCTCTTGGCTTGTCTCCTTAATGTGTGTGCATATGCATGCTGGTAAATTACCAGTGTGACATTCTGAGCACAAGTTAAAAGTGATTATGTGAAAAATCTTACTGTTTTAAATCTATCTATCT